GCCCCTCCGCCGCACCGCGCGGCCCCCCCGGTTCCGCTCCCGGAGCGCAGGAAGAGCGCGGCTCCGCGCAGCGCCGCGTGTCCGTACGGCGGGGGGAGGTCGGGGGCGCCTCCCGGAGCGCCTCGGGACCGCGTCGGTAACTTTGTAACAGGCGGAGATCTCGCTGTGGTGCAAAGCAGGGCTTTCCTCGCGTCATCCTTCTGCATTCCGTTGTTTATAACTTTATTAAAAAAATAAGTAAATTTAAAAAAAAAAACAAACAAGTAACAGAACTTTTCGGATATCGTACAGGAATAAAACGGAGTTTGCACGCACGTGTTTGCCTTCGTGGAGCAGGGAGTATGAGGCTTGCTCGCTCGCTCTGGAACAACGCGGGTTTAGAATGAGTAGAATTCTTCCTCTGCTTTAAAATAGTGGGCGGGATGTTCTTATAGAATAGTGCCTGACTTTGCTGCTCAGCCTGTTTAAAGCAAGACTGTTTTCAGTTTGTCTGTATGTAGACAGGAGGCATTGGTGAAAAAAAATCTCACAAACCTCCTGCTGGATTTCATTCTCTTATCTCTCTGTTAAAGTGAATGGAAGTCCTGCGGTGCTGGTAACAGAATTTTGCAATTCGAGTAGAGCAGTTCTGAATTTATATCGTGTAGAAAATGTAGGATGAGATAATGCTGTGTGGAGCTTGTTTAATTAATGAGTGCTCCATGCACAACCTTTGGATTGAAGTGTAGGAAGTCTGCAGGTTTGTGTGAAGCACTGCAAGCCATGTATTAGTAAGGAAAACAGTCGTCTGAGGGGGTGTCTGGTTATTTAAAAAATGAAGTTGCTTCAAAAGCTCCATTGGTTGCACCAAATAGTCTGGAAATGTGTTGTTCCTGGAGTTTCAGGAGATAGTAGATAACATTAGGCTTCGAGGTACTGAAACAGTTGGGCTAGATGATTGCTGTGGGCTTTTCCAACCTTAATGATTGGTGAAACCATGATTCTGTGAAACCATGAGGCTGGGCAGGTATTTTCAAGGCATGGATCAGAAGGACAACCTGAAAGGCCATCTGAACTTGGATTCTTTGTTGCATTCTTTCCTAATTCCACTATGAGAGACTTCTGCACTATTGTTGTATTTCCATGGCTTCAGAAGCCACTGAAGTCATCAGTAGGACAGAAGAGTGTACTATTATGGATCCTTTTTAAATTCATCTCTCACTTTGACGGTCTTCCTAGTAATCTGCTGATTTCTTGACTTTTTCTGTGGAAGTTTGCTAACATAAGACCTTGTTTTGTGTAGACAGCGTTTGAACAGTCTTTGACTGGCATCACTAATGAGCTGGAAATATGATCAGGCAGTTCTGACAAAGGATCAGGAGGGAAATAGAGGCACGTGAATGTGAAATCGCTTCTTCAGAATTGTCTTGTCAAATCACTGGAATGGACAGTTCTCTGCTTATGTTTTTCTCTCTGGAAGATCAGTCTGCTTTTTTTCCCCATTAGATTCAGTTATGTTAGTCAGAGATAGTGCAGTCTTTTTTGGAAGTGTCTTCAGGAAATGGGGTGATGGATTATAAATGACCACCTGTTTGGTCCTAAATACCTTAGGACATCCATAGACAGGAGCGGAACTTGCTGTCAGAGCATTGTCCTATGACTCAAGTACTGGAGCAATGTCTGTCTTTAAGAGTTTTGACAAGTGTGTGCTGAGGGGAAGGGGAAGGCTGCACAGGCCCCATTTTGCTCTGGTTAACAGTACCTTATTCAGACAAAAGGGAGACGGAAGTCTTTGCAGAACCGGAGCGTAACTCTTGAGTTGAGCTTTCTACTCCTGAAGAATCCTTCATTAAAAAAAAATCCAACAAATGAAGAATTTTGGAAGATTTATTCATACCTCCTACCTCCATGTTCTTAACAGCTTTTTCTTTGTCACATAACCCTTGGTGTGTGACTTTTCAGTAAAAAATTGATTGAATAGAACTGCATTCTCATTCATCTCATCTATGGTGTCAGTTTTCATCGTTTGTATTTAAGTCATTCAGATTGGCCATATGCTGATAGCAAATCACATCCTCTCAGTCCTGCTGTTTTATTTTGGAAGGGCCCTTTCTTTCTAGACATACCATCTGCTACTATGGAATTAAACTCCTGATTTATTACCAAAACAAAGATCAATATTATCTATAATCTTATACAGGAAAAGGTCTGCTATAAGTCTTTAGGAACAATAATTGAATTTATAGTTAAGATTAAATTTGTCCAGTTGGATATGATTACAAAACTGCTGTTCCATTTGTTTAAATGTGACTGCCAGCTCCACCCTTTCCCACTTCCTCCTAATTCATTCAGTTTTTATGGGAGGCATACATGATCGGCTTGATGGATAATTCTGGGACTTTGTTTTGTTTCTTTGTCTTATTTGCTTATAAATAATGTGTTTGCACCTCAGAAAATTGAAACTGCTCTTCCCTTTTGGCTTTGCTTTATGTGACATTATCTCTTGTACAAGAATGAAAAGAGATTTTATTTCACAACAGTAAAACTCACTGGGCTTCTTTGCCTTCCCTTGGCATGCATCACATTTCAGGATTTACTGAATTGCTGGTTACTGACTCTATACAAAATAATCTGGTAAAAGCTGCTGCTGGTATTTCCTAGTTGTAGTCTGAAGTTGGACTTTTATGCATGAAATTAAACAAAGCTTTTTGTAGAAACTTAAGCACAACTTTATAACCTTTCCATTTGCTGATTTGCTTTGCAAATTAAAAAAAGTATATCTGAGTGAATTCTCAGTTTACTAGTTTGTGACCATAGAGATGTTATAAATGACATGCTTTTTTGTATGAGTAAGTTTCTAAGCACCATGTATGTGAGATGCAGATCTTCACTGTAGCTAACCTGAAGGGATGAGAAGTAAAACAAATGCAAATTCTGCACTTCCCATCAGGATACTGTAAATACAGTTTGCTTGGAGCATCAGGATATGTTCATCTTTGATAGCAAGCACCTAGTAAATACACTTTCTTTCTTCTTTTCCACATGCTAAGGAAAAAGAGAACATGTCTTCTCTCAATATGTTTTCCTGGATTTTCCAGCGTTAGGAGGACACTGTCAGCATGTAACAGGTTCTCTGTAACCGAAGGCTCAAAATTTCCAGGTAGTGTTGATACTCATCTTCTTTGATACTGAGCAAAGTTGACTCAGGACTTGTCTGTTCAGCATGCGTGTGTAGTTTTCCATTACTCTGGAGTGTAGCAAAGGCATTTTTATGTTGTAGTTTAATACTGGGTGGGAAGCACACAGGATGCTAAGGAATAAAATTGGCAATTCTGTGTTTTGTTCTTGGTTTTTCTCAGCTTTTTTTCTCATCTGCTAAGCACAACTGACAGGTTGATGGAGGTCTGAAATGTTGTATGGGATTGACCTTCAAAATTAGTGAATGCTACCTAATTTAGTAACCAACCAGCGATACGTGAAATAGGCTAGATGTTTGGATATTAGACTAAAAATCTTACTTGGCACGATTATTTGGAATGTCTTTGTTCTATTAAAGCAGCAGAAGCAGTTACTGGGTATTTCATCAAAATTTTCATTTTCACATGGTGTTTTTTAAACAATATTAGCAGTTTTAAGCAGAAATCAGTTGAAATTGAAAGCTAACAACATTACAAAATGAAACAGGCTGTCAAAATACTATCTGTTTTTTTTTTTTTTTTTTAAAAAAAAAAAGCTTACCCAAAGCAGATATATTTTTAGTCAATGCTCTGTTCAAGCAATATAATAGTGAGATAAAGCTGAAAAGAGATGCGTAAGGAAACAGTAAACAAGCAAGGATTGCAGGAAATAATATTTTCATGTTCAAACGTAGAGTGAATTCCAGGTTCTTCAGGTAAGTTTGTTAAAGGTGGCAAGTCCAGAGTTGTGCAACGTTTGTTTATTTGGGTAACTAATACGAAAAGAACGTGGTTTTTGGAATCTTTGTGTTTTTGTGTATGAGGTTCCACTGCTGTTTAATGTTATTGTAGTTAGCAGCTCGATTTACTTCTTTCAAAAAAATGAGGTTTTTACCTTCTGTGGGGAGCAGGAATTGATAATTATCTGAGGTGGCTGAGTAGTGTGCTGAATTGGCCAATTATAAAATTGGTTTGAAAAAGTGTAGTTTTAGTTATGGTTAAATATGTGGTATAAGAAATGCTGTCTTCCATGCATGGTTAAGAGCAGCAGAGCAAAATTGCATGTAACCATATGAAAGAAACAAAGCAGTAAGTAAACAGATGTGATAGATATGTATACAAAAGGAAACTTTAGATGAGGAGAAACGACAGTAGAACAGCACTTGATGCTGGTTTGATGAGCAATTTTCAGTATTTCTAGCTAATATGAGATGGTGTTGCTTCGTCTGCAGATTGAATGTTCCCTTATACTTTATTTTGTTTGAATTTCGTCATATATCAATTTCCAGAATATTAGTGTGAGACCAACTGACTTTGTCTCTGGCCTGACCTACTGAGAAATACAGCACTGTGCTATGTTCCTTTGCCTTTTGTTATTTTAATATTTTGTAGAGGGGCAGTGGGGAGAAGCACGAATTTACCAGCATGGGTTTGGGTCTCTTCAAATGTGGATCCTGTCCATTGTTTCCATATTTCTGCATTAGTTTTTCGCTTCATCCCTTATCTTTCTTCCTCCTTTATTAAAACTAAACCAAGAAATCTTGGAATTTATTTCACTAGTGGATATAATAGGAGGCATCATGTTTTAATGTGGTCCCTGTGCTTCATAGAAGTGTTCCAGTGGAACAATTCTGTCTTCCTCTGCCTTTCTTCAAATTATGCTCAGCACCAGTGAAATGTTAGTGTTATTCAAATGCTTGTCAGGTTCCCTCTCCTGTTTTATATGTATGCAGACAGCCTTTACTATTCTTTACCTTTTGCATAAAATATCTGCTCTTTCCATCCAGAATGGAAGAAAAGTTTGTTTTCACTTTATTCTGTCTTTTTGTTGTGTTTTGTGTTGAAGGCAATGGATAGCGGTCTGCTGAGGAGAATATTGAACTTAACCAACCAGACTGCCTTCTACAGTGAGATCCTTGGCTTGGTGCGTGCTGGAGGATTAGTGAATATTGTTCACCTTGTCTTTAGTACGGCTTTTATCACTGTCTCCTGTAGTATATAGCAAATAAGTTAACAGCACACAGGTTAGGTAAGTGGAAGTGCGGTGGGTTGAAAAGCCAACTTAGAAGTTGGGCCAAAGGGTCTTGGTGGTCAGTGACATGAAATGAAGTTGGAGGCAGGTGTTCCTCAGATTGTACCCTTGAGCCCATAGTGTTAGCGTGGTTATTTGATCGCAGTGATGGGACAGAGCGCACCCTCAGAAAGTTCACAGACAGCGACAGAACCAAGAGGTTGATGTAGCTGGTGGGTGAGGTAAAGTGGTGTGGGATCTCTTGAAGTTCAGCAGAGGAAATGCAGAACTGTCCCTTACAAGGGATAGCACCAGTACATGCAGGGGAGTGTCTGGGTGGAAAGCGGCTCTTCACAGCTGTGTCAGGACCAAGTGGTTCTGACGGACAAGCAAAAAAGAGTAGCAAAAAGAGAGTTATCAGTGGTGTCTCAGGTGACATTACAAAGACCTGTGTCCGTGGGTCTGGGGAGGTAGTCTTCCTCTCTGTTCGGTGTTGTTGAGGCACATCTCAGGTGTTGTGCTGGTCTCCCTGTAGAAGAGAGAGACAGATGTGAGGGAACAAGTTCATTGAAGATAAGGGCTTGGACTGTTTTGCCTGGAGAACAGACTCAAGAAGACCTTATCCATCTTACACATGATGGGAGGGAGCAAAGATAAGGCAGCCAAGTTCTCCTCCTTGGTGCCTACTGATAGGACAGGAGAATGTAGGAAAAAAATTAAAAACTTGAAATTACTCTTGAATACAGAAAAAAACCCCAATATTTATTTGTTTAACTTTGGTGGTAGTCAGAATGCTCAACAGGCTGCCCTTAGGGATTATGAAGTCTCTATCCTTGAAAATGCTTGTAACCAGGTCCAGCACAGGACCACCAAGGTAATGGTTTGGATCGTTTTGCCTGTGTAAGAGGCTAAAGGGGATCTTGCTCATCTTGTAGGTGGTGGGAGGGAGCTAAGATAAGAGAACAAAGCTCTTCTCCTTGCTACCTAGTGACAAGAAAGAAGATAAGGAAAAAAAAGAACTTGAAATTACACTTGAATACAGAAAACAAGTTTATTTTTGTTTGTTTAACTTTGGTGTTAGAGTACTGCAACAGGCTGCTTTAGAGATCATTAAGTCTATCCTTGGAGATGCATGTAACCTGTAAACTGTGGCTCTGAGCAGCCTGCTATATCTGATCTGCTTCAAGAACTGGGTGGAAGTACAGGCAGGCAATCCCCAGTAGCTGTTTCATAATGATGGTCTAAATGATTCTATGATTCTATGTAAATGTGCTGATTATATAGTTGAAGATGACTGTTACGATGCCTCTTTGCTTGAAGTACTCTGGAATCACCTCAGTGACATCAGCTAATAGCAAAGGCTTTAAAGTGCAAGAAATCCTTAGGAGAATAAATAGCACTTCAATATTTTTTTATGTTGACAAATCTGATTTTTACTGTAAAAGCTCAGGAATTTGCTTTTTAAATAAATTCTAGGATAGTTCATAGTGCTGCTTAATTATGTAATCAGTTTGCTTTCATATGTAACTTTTCCTTTTAAGTTATCGTTTTATTACTTTAATAGCTGTACTTTAAAGGTTGTGTAGAAACCACTGTTGGTAAATGAACATGAAAGCTCTAGGCACATTTTAGAGGAGGAGGAAGACGAGCAGAGTGACGACGGAGGACAGGCAGAGATAAAACACTATAGGCTGATGGCAGCCCTTATTGCCTATTCCCTTCTGCTGCTCAGTGAGAGGAGGTAGGAGTGGTTGGGTAGGAGGAAGGTAGTTTAGCTTGCTCTTAGTTCTCACTGCCCCAGTCTGTTAGCAGTAGGCAATAAATTGTATTAATCTTCCTATGTTGAGGCTGTTTTACATGTGATGGTAGTTAGGTGAGTGATCTCTCTGTTCGTGTCTCAACCCATGAGCATCTTTATCATTTCGTTTTCTCCAGCTGTGGAGTACAAGAGCAGCATTGTGGTGAGGAGCCACTGGTAATGAAAGCACCAGTAGTAATCAAGCGCCTCCTCCTCCCGCCCTTCCCCCCAAAAAAGTGATTTCTCATCTTCAAGTTTCAGTTTGTTTGGGTTTTTTTTTTAGGGTTTTCATTTTTGTTGAATTGAAACAGTAGTACTCAACCATCCTTAAGTGATAGCTGTTTTTATTTGTTTGTAAGTGTAAACTTTCCTTGCATTGGAATATACATGCTAATGTGGAAATATTTTAGTTGCATGTATTTGAAGAAGATGACTTTGCAAGTACATGGGGGTATTTGCAATGCCATGATTATCTGTTGCTGCCATTGCCCCAGCAGGAGTGTTTATATTATTTCTCTCATCCTTAGCTATTGGAGATACTTGCACAGGAGTTCTTGCTGTGAACTTTCCCTTGTAGAGTACACTGCTTTCTTTCACGAAGTAGTTTCAAGAAGCCGTGGGGGTTTAGTCAGTCTTTGATAATCAGCTCAAGAATCATATAATTTTGTGAGGATTTATTTAAGTTTTTTTTTTTCTTTTCCTAAAATATTTGGTCTATTATTGTTTTGAGTCCACCTGTTTCCTGTAAAATTAAGCATATATATAAATGCTGACCCACATGTACTACACACAAAAGGATATTCTGTCTGTGGCTTGCTGGGTTTTGCATGCTTATTTTATGTATGAACTGCATCAGGCTTTTGTGTATGAAATTTAAGAACAAAAGTAAATCTGTTCATTTTGTACATCTCCCTCTGTTAATGAGTAACAATGGAGGCCTTACAGCATTTGTATTTAGATATTTTGTTAATCTGGAACACTGTGACTTACAAACATTAACTTGTTCAAACCACAGCTATTTCTCAGTACCTTTTCCCTAGATCTTTTCTTTGAGAGATTTTTGTTCATTTTAAGAATCTGCAGAGATTTTTTTGTTATTTTTACTGTTTCAAAGATATACATGGGAAATACCTTAATTCTTCCAAAACATCACAAAGCCTCTGCAGTAATTGTTCTGTAATTCAATTTTAGAAGCAGGTTCTGTCTTTGCTCTTCACATGGTTTTATTGATGTCATAACTGTTAGGGTCAACGGTTGAATGAATTGTATGCAGTTGAGTATATTCTCTTGTTATCTCTATTGTGTGTGGGAAGCATTGGACATCTTTTACTTTATGTATTGTTCCTAGCTTGAAAGTCTGGAGCTGCCAGGATTCTCTCCTTAGAGCAACAATTCTCCATGGGCAAGAAGCAAAGAAACATTCTAGCATACAAGAATGAAGCACAGAACAAAAAGCTCTGCTTGATTCCTTTGGGTTTTAACCCAGTTGTACCACTGACCAGGAGGTGAAAGCCAAGCTTTGGCACTAAGAAGCAAAAATTTGTTTCAGTTAGTGATGATTGAGCAAATCTGGCATAGCTGGCAGAAAATAAAAAGACAAGGGGAATGTCCAAGATGGGATGCAGGGAGAAGGAAAGTTAAGGAGCTAATGATGCATTTCATGGAGTTATCAGCAGTAAAGATTCTTATTATCCTAGAAATTAATCAGTTGTTGTCAAAGAATATCTTTTGATTTGCATAACAATATTGACGTTGTTTCTGCAATAGCACTGCTCTTAGTTTAAATAGAAAAAGAACTTTCTTTGACTAGAAAGTGTTAGTGGGAAGTGTGTGAAGATGAGTAACTTTTAAAAATGAGAAACTACTTGCTAAAAACTGTATTGAGTTCCTGAATTCACATCTGAACTGACATTTTACAAAGAAAACGCAAGTTGTTTTTTGGTGTCTTTAGTTGTATTTCATTTGTTTATAAGTTGCTTTTGCAAAAAAGAAATAGCAGACAGTGTTCTTCTTAGCAAGTAGGTACTAGGTAGGGTTGGAAATGCGCCTTTGCTTGCATTGTGTACTGTTGTGCTGCTGTCACATCTCTGTTCTAATAATAGTATGCTGGTCATAAGCTGTTTATCCCTAAAGTACTAAAACTTACGGAACCTCACTTGTCTTAACGAAGTTGTTTAGATTATTGCTTTTTGAATGTAAGCTTGCTTCATTTTTTTCAGCTTGGGTTAGTCTTTGTATTAAGATGTACTGATTTTTGTTGGGGCTGTTTTTTTCCCAAGTCCACAGTTGGTATATCTTTTGCTGGAAGTGTTTTAGTGGTTTTTGGGGGGGTATGTGCGAGTCCTAGCGTGGGACTGATATCTGTTGCTTGGTTCCTAGTCTTCAAGTGCAGCATGGCTCTGGTTTCTATCAAGCGTTTCTAAGGGGTTTTGGAACAGTAAAAAGGTATAAGCATATTCTTAATCAGGTTTACTTGCACTCTGCCTCTGTACAAAAATGTGTGAGTATGTGAAAGGTATTAACAACCCATACTTAACCTACAGTAGTACTGAACATTCCAATTTCATCCATTTCACTGGACAAAGAACACCTGCGTAGCTTCAGGTTAGTTTCTTCTTCCAGTATTTTGCAGATGCAGCCAGTGTAGCAAATGATCCATGTTTGTAGAGCTTTCTCAGGCAGGAAGTTTTTTTGCACTGCTGAGAACTGCAAAGACCCTGTCAAAAACTGCTGACTATGGAGTGATAGACTTAGCAGGACAGAATTTGTCAGCGAATTTACAAAGATCTGAGTGGAACTGCTTGGTCTTTGCAAATAGAATACATAAAGGATGTAGTGTAGCTTTACATAGAATGCAGCTTTATGAATCCGATAGATGAAGGATAAGGTGTTAAGGGGCAGCACTGGAATGAAAATGGTAGCACTGAGAATATGCTTCAAACTGAGGAACTGGCAAATTTGGAAAGAGACAGACAGTGGATTTGAATGTCAGGTCTGCCATTGTTTATTACCAAGAATGGAAAGTTTGAGAGGGAATGGCTTGCTTTAACAGAATGATAAGAAATAACAGCACAGGATATCTTGTTGGTTTTGATTTCATGTGTCCATGAGACTACTCAAGATAAGATTGCTGTGCCATTTTAAGCTTTTTTGAAGGATTTTCCTAGTCTAAGGTAATCATATCTTTGCTCTCTTTTGCTTTATGAAAGGAGCACAGTTTATGTGGTCTCTGAAGGTGATAATAAAAGTTTGTAGTGTGTGTTTAAAAATGAAAAAAAGAAAGAAAGAAAGTACTGAACCATTGACTGTGTATTGTTAAGAAGGGAGCTCTGACCACATCTCTTAGCAATTCTCTATTTCTTCTGGATTTTGTTTTTAGCAGCAAGGTGTGTGGCTAAGATGAGCTTTGAGTGAAGTGGATACAGCATTTGATGATGGATTTTTCCTCTGTGCTGTAATATGTTTCTAAGTAGTAGGAGGGAGATCTCCACTTATTATCTGTATCCTCATTTCTACTAAATTGCGAAAATTACTTTTGCAGTCCTTTAGTGCTTTTTCCTGCTTTGCCCTCTTCCTGGTCTACATTGTCTCCAAGTTAAGACTGCTGCATGCTGCAACAGCAAGATGCTTGAATAGAAGGACAAATCCGCATTTGCTTTTCTTGCACTTAAAAAGGAAACATGCAAATGAAAGTACTTGTTTGAACAATGTGACATGCTTCCACACACAGTAGCAGCTGCCTCCTTCCAGATGGCAACTCCACCATCTGCTTTGCAGCCTGTCCCTCTTGAATGGACTTAGTAGCACGTCTGTGGGGCCAGAAGTCCTGTTACTGTACCACGAGCTTCTTTAGGGATATGATGTGATCAGATTTCTGCTCCCAGAAGGAAGTGTTGGCTAGATTTGATAGGACAGGTATAACTGGGTTTCTGCTGCCCTGCTTCTTCTGTGTTATGTGGAGAACCACTGGGCTCCTCTTCTGCTGACCAGAGGTACCAGTGCTGGCTCCTCTGCTGTGGCTGCACTGCCAGCAGCGTTCTCCTGGGTCGCTACATGGTGCGTGTGTCTTCATAGAAACTGCTTGTGATGATGCAGTGTTTTCTTTGTTTGCTTGCAGTAACTAAGATTGTGGTACACAGGGTTGAAGTTATGAATATTCTGCTTCTGATTTAAACTAACAGATGGAAGTATTTTCTTGCACAGCATCAGACTAGTTTCTGAAACAAGGAAGTCTGTAATTGATACTCTCAGAATTAAAATAAAGGTCACAGTGTGAGTAATAAGTTTGTTACAGCAGTGCCTAAACAGCTGGTCATGGAAACAACAACTGAGATTATGATCCAAAACTGGTAAGACATTCTGTAGTTGAATCGTTCCGTAACCTTCTGTGACAAGACTACTCATGTTTTTTCATACCTTAAAACATCTAAAGTATCAAATTGCTGCTGTTTGATTCTGTGCTGTTTAATAATGTTAACTTAAAAAACAAGAAAAGCATATTATTGACATATAAATATCTAGAAAGCTAATGTTAAAAATAAGTGTTCCTAGGTAGGATTAGACAAGAAAACAGAAGTGACTGGCAATGATAGGGGTATCGCTTTTGGCAATAAAGGATATACATCCAAACAGCAGTGAGTTACTGTTGTGAGTGCTCAAGCAATAAGAGTCTCAGCCAGGGGAGCAACATTCTGTTCAGGAACAGCTGCACAGTTGTTTGCATTTGACACCCTCCTATCCAAACCTTAATTTCTTTAATGAATCTTGTCTTATACTGTAGGTAGGACTCAGTTTTATTCCTGTGAATGGGCTGTGTTTCTTCCAGCTACATGTACATTGCACTAGGCTGAAAATGCTGAAGTTGTGACAGATAGTTCTAGTTCTGTAGAGCCTTCTAAAAGGCGAAAGTATGTTTCAGTAGTGCATTTTGGAGAAACTGAACTCAAGCTTGCTGGAGATATTTGATTGAGGAAGAAAGTCAGAGGACGTGGCCTGTCCTTCAGGTTATCTATACTCTTTATTCTCTGAAACTGCAATGATTAGGACTGGTTGAACAGTTTCAGTTATTTGTTGTAATTTTTTTTTTTTTTTCTTCCAGATAGCATTGTGTGTTGGGTGGGTGTTCCTTTGTAACACCCTGAATTATGATATTTTTCACTAGTATGAATTTGTGCTCGTCACACTAGTTAGTGTTGAAAGAAAAATTGATCTGTGGATGTATTTCAAAACAAAAACAAAAAGCCCACAACAAAGCCAACCTATGGCTTAGCAAGAGTTTTTTAAGAAAGATGACACTACTAGATATATACCAAAAAAAATAACCGAGCACTTGATATCTTCAAATCAGAACAAGTATGACAATATTGTTGAATATTCTTTACTCATGTTTACTGTTAAACTATGTGAAGGCAGTGATGAAAGTTTGTAGAGTACTTCTTCATTGAGATCAAGTGATAGCTGAGTGAAGTAAAAGATGTGCTTTTAAAAACATAATCTATGCACTTGAATAAAGTGTTTCTTTAGTGATGAAACTTCAGTCTTTGGATAAATGCAGTTGCTTCCCAGCAAGCATTTTGCTTACTGTCATGGTATCACAGAAGCTTGTACTTCAGTCTGTATCCTGTTTTCTGAAGATGTGTGCTATCTGCAGAGGCTTCCTGAGGATATCACTTGAGCTGTTTTCTGTTATCACTGCTGTGTATAGACTGCTCTACTGGCACTTGTGTGTTACCTTCAGTTGTAAGGTAAATGCAGGGCAACAGCTGCAAGGGCGTCCTCTTTGTTCAGAGCTCCTGGTCTTAATGCGTTAGCATCCAGGTTAGTAGTGACCATTATTGTGAGAAATCTCAAGAAGGTGAGCACTTAATTGGCGAGTAATCCTGTGTTTTTTTTATCTAGTATGTTTGTTGTTCTTCCTATTTGCACTCCATATTACTGACATCATCCAGATTTTGAAAATGTGCCTTAAGTTTGGCATCAAAGATAATGTCTCTCAATGAAGCTATGATTATTTTTCTTAAGTGGGTGATAAGTAGGAACAAATAAAAGCTGAGTGAGCTCATTGTTAGTTTAAAATAGACTTCACGGAATGTTGGATTCAAATAATTTCTTGATCAGGAAAGTTTCTTGGTTCTCCTGGGAGTTCATTCCTTTCAGAAAGCCAGTCTGTCCAGAAGAGCGAAGCCAGGTTGTGGCATGCTTGTAATTAACAGGATTTTAGCCACAGTGCCCACTGACGAGCAGAATATTTTGTCCTAGGTTGTTTGGAACAGACCATCCTGATTTAGTTCAGTTACACAGAGGGCTCTCAGAGCAGTGCCATCCACTTGTGTGCAGGCTGTTTGTAAGCCGGCAGTTCCTGCCAGCAAGGCTGTGCTGTTCTGGAATGCGGTGAGCAAGGCACCAGCTCTGCAGCCTGGTTGGCCTGCCGGAGCCTCAGCTGCTGCGCGGGCGTGCAGACAATGTGGCATTTTTTCTGGTTTAGCTTGTTTTCCTCAGGATGAGGAAGAGAAGCAGTGGAGACCTATACCAGCAAAAATACAGCCTTGCCAGGGCAAACAGAATCTGCACAGGTGCTGCTGCTCCTGCAGTATGTGATGCTTATCTGCAGAGTCCGACTGATCTTCACTCTGATAAAAGCTGCCCTCAAGGAAAATTTCTGCTTTCGCTTCCATTTCTTAAAACAAATGTTTCTGGCTAGATTTCATCAGCAGCCCAGCTGTTTGGATTTTTTTTTAAGGTACTTTTCACATCTGTTCCAAAATTCATTTTTTTGTAACTCTTACCTGCTCGTGTATGTCTGCAGAATCAAGTGGCTGATCAGAATTACTAAATGATTCAGTTACTGTGTGACTGTGGCAATATGAAAACTGGTGTTTCCCTGAGTGTAGAAATTGAAGTCTGAATCTAAGCATCATTAGTTGATGGATGCAGACCGAATAAATTACTACGCTATGTAGCTCTAGAACATACTGCAACCTTCAAATGGGCCTGGATACATTTCCTTGATTAGCACATGAGAACACCACTTTTTAAATTTAAATTGCTTTTCCTTTACTTCTTTTTATTTTCCTGTGTGTGTATGTAAACCTAATACTGGATCATTTAGGAGAGGTTCTGGTGGGAGCTATATAAATCAAAGAACTGAAGTACGGCTGATTAATACTTCACTGTTAACTGTCTTTACCTTACAAACTGAAACTGCAGTGCTCTTGTCATATTTTATGGCCCGAATTTGCTGTGTGTCTGCACTAGCTTGTAACTGATGGGGCATGAATCGTGATTTAGGAAAGGCTATTCTGGGTCTGGACGGTGGTTTGGTTACTACTGTCACTCTTATTTGATGCAGGCTTTGCTGCTGGATTATTGGTGTGTGTGGGATGAGAACAGGCACTTTGCAGCTCCAGCCTGAAATGAAGCCTAGGCTTCATTTTTATATTAAAATGCAAGAGTCTTCAAGTCAGGTGTCATCTCTGATTCTGTTTAAAACAGCAAATCGGGGAGGAGGAAAAAGATGACATATATAGCCTCTGCCTCTTGAGTTCATTCAGAATGTGAGTTATCTGGCAAAACAGGTTATCTAAAATCTGTGCTGTCTTAGAAGCACTTATTGTAAATTAAGAGCTCACACTCGTAAGTATATAATAAATATCTTTTTAAATGAAATTGCAGTTACCTCAGTTCTGAGAGCTTTCTTTGGCTTTGCAAGTCTATTCTACAAGAATAAACAAAAACTTTAACTTCTAAGGACACATATTATTGTGTTTTTCTTACAGGTGGTATCATGGAAAGCTTGACAGAACAATTGCAGAAGAACGTCTTCGGCAGGCAGGAAAACCTGGAAGTTACCTTATTCGAGAAAGTGATCGGAGACCAGGTTCATTTGTGCTTTCGTTCCTTAGTAAAACAAATGTCAATCACTTCAGGTGAGAACAAAATGTTTTCTTTTAAATTACTGTAATCTGCTTATTTTTATCTTATTGTCTTATGCCAACAGATAAGCACTGTATTATAATAGAGTATTTTTGACTTTTTATTTTATGGTATACTTTTAAACTTGTGCTTAGTTATTCTAAAGCATGCTACTCTGGAATCCTTTTGCAGGAAACCCAGCATCAAAAGAGAGACACCTGTTTTAAGCTGTTGTGAATAGTCTTAAAGTAACATGCAGATTATGTTAGCCATGAAGATGGTTTTGGATCGGGTCTTCAGTTGTCATTTTAGTTCACAGGGCATACTTAAGTGTTAAAGTACTAACAAATCTGATTGTCTCCTTAAATTGTAGGAATAAAATAATAAGTGAAAAGATTATGTATTTAATAAGGGTTTGCTTAGAAACAATTTGCAGCCTGTGTTAGAATTAATTGTTCCAAAAACAAATAGCCCTTTATCCAAACTCTAACTAGGGTTATTTCAGCATTAGCAAGCTGTGTATGTATGTTAATGAACATATGTTCATTTATTCTTTAGTGTAAATGAGTTGTGTGCTTAGAAAAGCTTGAATGTTAGTTAACAAATCAAGTGTTGCAATGCAGTGTTCATTTTCACGAAACAGGAGAGCAAATAAAGAAAAATGTAGGCCAAATAGCAAGTTTCTTTGGAAACAGGAGAACAATTAATAGAAGCAACAAATGCAAACTAAATTCTTTTACTCGTGTAGAGGGAGTTATCCAAGATACCATCATATAAGCCACTATGTGTGTGACTTACAAATGTAGGGAGTTTTTGAAAGCATCTGCTGTGTGATGAAATGTAGTTCATAGGTCCTGATCTAACACTGACACAAACTCTCTTAAATGCAGACAGTGTACCACACATATAGTATGTCATGTTTGCATCTTGTCATCTGAGCTAACGATTTTGGCTTCTCAGCTATACAGATAATGGTTTAGGAGCAGCCTCTCGCCTAGCAATAGGAGAAAATTATAGTATACTAATGGTGGCTTTCTATTATTATTCTGGAGTCCTGCACTATTAGCTTATTATTGAAGCCAACCTCATCCACTTGAATATTGGCAGTGCAGGTTGAAAATTGTCTTTAATGATTTCCAATTCCTTAAAGAAAGTTCCATTAAGAACTTAAATAATCATTCATTCCAGCATCCCTAAAATACACACATAGAAAAATGACTATCTGAAGCAATTAATTTGTTTGTTGATACTGTGCTTCAGAGATAGGGTATGTTATTTAAGATCTCATTTATTTGCTGCATGTGTGCTTTCCTTTGTTATGAGAAAGGCAAGTACTGCACTCAGAAATACTGTCAAATTGAAGACAAGTACTGTACTCAAAAATATTGTCTTTAAGTACTTTCAAGCAAATATGGGGATGATTCTCCTGCATCCCACAAAGCAGAAGTGGTTTTTCCATCAGGGCAGATAGCCTACTAGAAATGGGTAAACGTTCACTGCTAAACAATCTTCCTCTGTTTTTTTTTACTTTTACTATGGAAATCAATGGTAAAATGTCAACATCAGGTGAAAATGCTTTTTGTGCCATGCAATTAATGGATAGCATATCAATCTGCTGAAATCATTTTTTTCACAGAAGTGTTGGTGAGTTACTGAGTGATACCACATATTATGGGAGGAAATATTTGTTTCAGTCTTTCCTATTGGATTTTGTGTGATTACAGAAGGCTTCCTATAGTGTTGGGCTCTGTGTTTTGAAGACAGATATAATTTGTGCTTGAATTACTAATCTGAAACACAACATTTTAATTAGAACCTAGTCTGTTTAGTAACTTCACAGGGAATCTGGCAGAAAATATGCTAAAATATCTGGCCTAAATCATTAGTTATATTCTTATAGCACTGAAAGTAGAGTCAAATATGCTTAAAAAACAATTTCATTTCTGAAGGTTCATGTTTATTCATGCTTTATGCTGATGTGTGGAAGCAATCATTTAGTTCAAAATGCTGACTGAGTAGAAAGATTTGTAGTGTGTGAAAATAGTGACTTGTTAAAAAAATGGAAATAAGAATTTCCAAAAGCAGTTGCAGGTGAGCAGCGTACTCGTTTTGGATGAGGGATAAGTTTCTTGGCAGTTGATTTTATTTTTGTTTTCAAATTGCTTCCAAAGCTAGAGAAGAAAATAAGAAGTAAGTGGGGCACTTCTACTATAATTTACTATGAAATATCCTAAAGATAATTTGTTTCCATTATGGAAGCTGCAAAGAGAATTAGTGTTAGCTCTTAGATTTTATTTTTCTTAACAAGCAAAATGTGCTCAGTTTGGTAATAATTTGTTTCTCAATTTCTTGACTTTATTACTCATATTTTTATCAAATGATGAATAGTAGTATGTATTTTTAGACTTTAATTTGTAGAGGTGTACATAGGATTTTAAAAACAACTGACACTCTGCAACCAAAATTCAAGAGAAAAGTAGGAATATTTTTTCTACTTATGATGCAGCTCAGCTGCAGATTTGATTTAAACAAAAACCAGACAGTGATGTTTTATAGTTGTACCAGAAACAGTGATGTTTGTATCAGTGAGTGTTTCTTTATTTTCACTGTGCAACTTAACGAGCTGCTTGGTCTCTGTACCACTGTCTTCTCCCAGCTCCCAGTTACTTTCCAGGTAGCAGGTTAAGGATGAGTGGGGTATTCTCTAGCCTGCTGTCTGGTCTCTGCACTGCTGGAAAAATTCAGGTCTGCCTGATGCCACTGATTTAGATACTTGTGTTTTTTTTTTTTCTTCTGATAGTCTGGTCCAAACTGCTGATTGTTTCGTATTAAGTCTTTTCTTAGTTTTACAAATGAGTCTTGAGCATAACAGGAATGCTTTTAATGCTGTTAACTCTTTTACCTAGATCAGTTATTTCTGACTCCTTTTAGAATTTGTACTGAATAGCAGTGAGAATACAGATTATGATTTCCATTTTTGATATGATAGTGTTTTCGTGAATGTGCATCTTAACAAAAACAGACCCCTTAAAGATAAGCAAACAGTTCTGTAAGAATGTTGTTGTGTTAAACAGCTGCAGAGGTTTTCTTTGCTCTTTCCTGTCAAATAGCAAATCTTGGAAAAATTGAAATATCTACTTATTCTTTATTTCAAAGTAATTTCTTAATTTCTGTTTTTCAGCATGGGTACTAAATAACTTCAGGAAAGTGACTAATCTTTGAAGTTCTTTCAGTGTTCTGTAATCAAGTAGATTCATTTGTTAATATAATTTGATACTTTTGTGTGTCCTGCACGATGCACATAATAATGTTGTTGTGTATGCTAAAGCACTATGTCAGTTTTCCAGGACACTGTTAAATACATTTTTCTGTTAAATTTCTTTAGTTTCAGTAAGTTGTATTTTTTATGCTTCCTTTGCAGTCTTGACGTATTTGTTTTCTCTGATACTTATCAGTAATTTTTGACCAAATACCCATTAATTAATTAATAATTGCATATCTGTTTGTAGAGATCTTGTAATATTATATTTTAGTGAATGTAGTCACTCTGCTTCTTAAAAGAAAAAAAGTAGGAAAAAACCATTTGTAGACAAGAAGTTCCCTGTGTCAAGCTTCCTTCTTTAATTAACAGAATTATCGCCATGTGTGGGGACTATTACATTGGTGGACGTCGCTTTGCTTCACTCTCAGACCTAATTGGTTATTACAGTCATGTGTCCTGTTTATTGAAGGGGGAAAAGTTACTATTTCCAGTAGCACCTCCAGAGGTAAGAAGTAACATTTTTATAGTGATTTTTTTTTTAAGAGCCAAAGTGTCTTTACTGAAAATTTCCAGTGAGAAAACTCATTATTACATATTGCTGATATCTCTGAAAGTAGCAATGACGTCAGTGAACAAGTGTGCAGTTCTCATCTAGTAATGTAGGTAACTTCTTGGTTTGTGGTATCTTGTGTATCTAACAGATTTCTAAATGATCATTTTGTAGATAAAAAAGGATTTTGAAAGTGAGGCTTCTTTCAAGTGCTCAGTTTACGAGCATTTATTAAAACCATGCAAACTATGCCCCTAAACAAAGATGTTTCTGATAGTTAAACTTCTGTAAGTGGAAGAAAGTCTAGAACTACACCTCACGTAGAAATTACCCTATCGTAATGTATTTTGAAGATGCCAGTGTTACCTGTCGTGCTTCAAAGACAAATGACATGACAGCTTTAGAAGCCAGCTGTATTAATTGTGGTTTTTGTAGTGGTTTTGAGCTTTGAAAATTTTACACTGCTTGGAGGGATGTAAGTGACTGTTACAAGTCCTTTTCTTAAGACACTCTGAAGTGCTGAGGAGAGCAATACTGAGAAAGTTTTATCTTTGCTTTCATTTTAAATTGTAGCCTGTGGAGGACAGGAGGAGAGTTAGAGCAATTCTGCCTTACACCAAAGTGCCAGAAACAGACGAAATAAGGTATGCTTTAATAATACGAAGCTGTGAATCTCAGAGTACTTATAAATACTAATGGTTTAAGATGTATATTCATGTGCAAGATAAACAAGATTTTTTTTTTTCCAGACACGTCTTAGATTTAATACATGGTTATATTAAAGAATGTCTTTTTTTGTTATTGGGTATAGCAATAACATTTTTTCTGTGTATTTGCATTAATTACGAAGAATTAGACTGATGAACTAAAATTAGTAATGTTATGTTTCTGAAGTAAAATTTGCAAAGACTTACATTCTTATAGAGAGTAAATGTGTGTGACAGAGTTCTATTCAAACGTATGTTGTGTGTTTGAGCTAAATGGGCTAGGCTTTTTTTTCCTGAATTGCCTGCAGAAGTAACTAATAGCAAGTAAGTGTTTGAGGCCAAATCAGTCCCGATTGCTGGGACCAGAATGTGAATATTGACTACTCATAAATTTAAGAATAGCCTATTTAGTGCCTTTTTTGAAATAAGAATATGGAGCAGTGTTAAAAACAAGCAAACAAAAACCCTTGTTCTTTAATGTTACAGCATAGATTTTGTAGAAGCTTGGTGACTGTCAATTGCTAAGGTCTAACTCATTGTCTGTCTTCACCTGGTGGAAGAATTATTCCTGCTTCCCATCTAATTTCTCTTCCCTCTTCAAAAATTCTGTATTGAATGAACCATATTTAAATGTATAATTTCTGCTAATCTTAATGTTTTACTTATTTGTTACACTGTCACTCGTTTCCTTTCTAGCAGCACTAGTATCTCTGTTATTTCTTGGGGGTTGTCTGTACACTGTGATTCTTTTGCATTTTTGTTATGTGCTACATAGGAAGGAAACAGAACCAACAGTCCCACATCCAAATGAAGAGCATATGCAAATTACTTGGAATTGATACTTTTTTATTGATATTTTATATATATATATATATATATATATATATATATATATATATATATATTTTATTGGAAAAGTTGGAGAGTTTGAAAGAGTTTTCTAATCTTGGTTTGACTTAGTTGATTTAATATTCCACTTAAATTGAGAATTGGCTTGGTTTTGGGAATATTGACCTAAGCATAGTGTTGGGCTTGATGATCTTTGCAGATCCCTTCAAACTGAACTACACTAATTTGTAAAAATACAGAAAAAAGTATATCCTTTATTTCCTTGATATCCTCATTAAGATCAAAGAGTATCCCAAAGTTTGCAGTGCAATCCAGTCTGACCTCTTCAAATAATTTTATGAGAATTTTCTTCACTGAGGTGATTAATTCCTAAAAAGAGGAGGAGAAGTTGGTAGGAGTTGATTGCTTATTGCAAGTAAGACTTCCTGCTACCTGCAAAAATAAAACTACCAGTGGAGTCCAAGAAGTACCTTACTGCATGTACCAGCTTACAGGAGAAAAGTGTTTCGTTTCTTTGCTATCATAGTACAAATCTTAGAAAATCACATTTTCTCCCTTTTGTAAAATACAAAAGAAATGTAGAGTTCTGTGCTTGGCTTGTGAGACATGCTTGGTTGAAATAGTTCTGTTCCTGGCACACTGCAACCAGATCTCTCAGTTTATTCTAGATCAAATTAACATGCACTTGAAGATGCTATTTGGCTGAATCATAATTTAGAATTTTGTAAATTCTAACCACAACATTAGAGTTCTAAGTATTGCAGGGTTGATTTCATTCTGTCCTCCATGCATTAACTTACTGAGTAGTTCTTTGCAATAGAGCTGATGCAATCAATGGAATCAAAATTGGAAATCACTCATTCTTAAAATTTGGGTCCATTACAATCTGAATTCATTCCCTGTTTCATTGGGATTTTTTTGTTTGTTTTCTTTGTGCTGTTCGAAGACTTTTCTGTTAGCTTGTCTCAAATGAGATACATTTTCTTTGAAATTTGCTATGTAAATTTGAGCTGGATTTATAGTTAATGAATGAGCTTCAATGTCAGTTGATACTTCCTGTACCCCGATTTAACATCTAACTTAACTAAGAAGTCCTGTTGTGCTGCTGTGAAATGTTCTCATATGACCTGAGTTTGTGATAACACTGAATTAGCCCATCCTTCCAGTAACGAAGCTTGCTTGAGCATCTCAGTGCTATTTATTTATGTTTTTCTTGTAGCTAATTGCATGGATGTTCTAGTAACTATTCTGTACTCTGTAGCACTCGCTTTTGTATATGAAAACATAAACGATTGGTACACCACAGGCTTTCATTATATGAGATTAGGTTTGTTAAACAATATTAAGGAGTAAGGAATGTTCTTTTCATATAAACTATTAATGGCATATTTGATTGTTTTCATGTTCTTTATTTGGTAAAAGAAAACTGTTTCTATCTTCTAATACTGTTGTGGTGTTATTTCTGTTCTGTGCCTACTTAACATACTTCCAAGCTGATAGAATTCAAGTATGCATTAGATTTTGAATGTAAATCAAAGTATAAATATTCGTATGTGATAGCTGTGAGAAAATACATGTGTGCATGCTTGGGGTATCAACTGATATATTTTCACATGCAGCTTATCTCAAGTGTTTTGCCAAAATAATGCTCAATAATTCTTTGTCTTAAAGTTTTTATTATGAGCCTGTTTCTAACTTTCTTCTTACTGTAACTCTTCAGTTTCCTTAAAGGAGACATGTTTATTGTCCATAATGAATTAGAAGATGGTTGGATGTGGGTTACAAACCTTCGGACAGATGAACAAGGTCTTATTGTGGAAGATTTGGTAGAGGAAGTGGTAAGTAATTTTATATTCAAGTCTCTTAAATTATATTTGTACGCATATATATGGTAAATGTAAATTGGTGAAATACTGGAATTTATCTAAACCAGTGACACTGCTTCACAGAATCACAGAATTGTAGGGGTTGGAAGGGACCTCCAGAGATCATCGTGTCCAACCCCCCAGTTTCTATTCCAGTTATGTGCTTTTCTAAGCCTAGTAATTGGATCTGGCTGTTTTAAAATAGTGTTAACAGACCTGTAAGCCCAATTCAGTATTAAAAAAGCTCTTATTCACGTATTGCGCAAAGAAATATAAATGAATGGTACTGCAGATTTACTCAGCAGTTTCCTAGACTTCCCTCTCTTAATAAACAATCTGAGTTATTTAGTTGCATTTGGGTTTTGTTTCCTATTCACGATCTAAACAGAATGTAATTTTGCGTTGTTGTAGGAAGGTGATTTTTAAGGATAATAGATAAAAAGCATACCAGTGAACTGATTATACCTAGACAGGTAGAGCTCAAGAAGTTAACCAGGTGACATGCAGATAATTGAGTTACTGCAAGGGAAAAGAGGGTTTAAAGGATGTTTTAAATAAGAAGAGCTTTTTTTTTTTTTCTTTTTTTTTTAACCTCAGCACTGCTTTTGAGTCCTGATAAAGTTTTCCTGTGTAGTCTAAGTATTTTTGCTAATAGCATAATTACTTGCAGCTGCTTTTCAGAGATATGTGTTATAATGTGGCAGCAGTACTGGAATATTAAACTGCAGTCTTCTATATTCTTGATTAAGTTAACCTGAGGAAAGCTGGTTTTAAAATTTGTCACCCTTAAAGAAGGACTTGAAACATGACAGGATTATCTCAAAGAACATATTTTGGCTGAATTTCCACTTAGAGAATGAAGAGGAAAACTCATTTTCCTAGAACTGCAGTTAGCCCTTTTAGTTCAGAAGTATCCTAGAGTCTTTTTTTTTTTTTTTTTTTAAACAGAAGATCTTAACCTATGAAGTTTATTTTCTGACCTAACCTGTACTGTTGTCATGCACTTAATATGTCAATTTTCTCATTAGGGAAGAGAAGAAGATCCACATGAAGGCAAAATGTAAGGATTTGTTTGTTTGTTTGTTTATTAAAACATAAAATACAAATTTCAGCTATGAGGTTTCTTGGCTTTTGGAAGGGTGAACAGAAGATGCTTATTTTTTGCCTTAGAATTTTTTTTCTGTTTCAGCTGCTGAAGATGCGTGGAAAATAGACCTTAAAGTCTTGTAATAGTGATGTCTATTGGTAATGGGTTAAAATCTTCATTGAATCTTGTATGGTAATGTTCAGCCAAAATATGCACGGTGGAGCAAAGGCAGTTTTTGCCTTAGAGATAGCCTTATTCAGAACTTATTCAGCTGCAGATGCTGGAGACAGAGCAAAGTACCAGCAGAAGAATGGTGGTGTAATAATTGCATCTTATCTTCATTATCTCCATGTAATAACTCTTAAAGGTGGAAACCAAAGGCTGTGTGATAATTGTGCCCTTTCCTTCAGTATTTGACATTTTTTTTTGGAGTGGATACATTTCAGGCTTAATTCTGTAGTGATACAGCAGACTGCTGACAGTTACACTGTTTTCAGTAGTACAGACCAAAGCAAGTTTCAGAAAATCTCTAGGCTTGGCTGTGTTGTCTGTCCCGCATTTGCTTGTGGTAACTGCAACTGCTGCTTCCTGTCTCTCTTGCCCTCTTTGCAGTCTCCAAAAGGGTGATGGCTGAATAAGGCATTTCTTGTTATCTTAATTGGCAAAAGAACATCACTGATACTTATTTTGCTTACTCTTTCCTAATGTTCTGCTAGTCACTTTGGCAGCAGGGAGCTTTCAAAAATACAGGAACATATATTTATTTATTAAGAAATCTGTAATTAAATGCTTGGAGGTTGACTCTGTTTACAGATATTTGCAGTACTCAGAGGAATTCTGGGGAGACAGCAATGCTTCAAATATTCCAGTAGCAAGAAAACATCCTCTAAATCTTTTACAGAAAAAAGATTTAGAAATAAAGCTCATTTTTAATGCATAAGAGAGTCTTCTGTTCCATACCCTGGCCAATGTAAATGTAATGAACTGTAGGCCATAATTTTAGATTCCCATAGGGTAGAATGAGATTTTAACTTGTGGCACGTGATGTGTTGAACCTAAACTATAATGTCAGCTCTTTGACTGCTGGTATCAGGCTGAGACTAGACAGAGGCTACTGAAATTTCTTGGGACATTGCTCTTACACAGGGCTCTGCAGAGCATAGAAGATTCTACATTGAAGTCGTTTTCATTCAGAAAAACGTAGGTTTTTTTTCCACAGCTTCTGGCAAGATTAGTTTGATTTTTTTTTTTTTTTTTTTTTTTTTTTTCTCCTCATTACTGTGTTTATCCTCCTTATTTTTGCCTTGGATTTCATGATTTGGGAAATTCCTGTATAGGATTAACTTCACATAGTGCCTATTAAGTTAGCTACCCTTTTAATGTTGTTTCTGTTTTTTTTGTTTTTGTTTTTGTTTTTAAATCTCTAAATGCAGTCAGATTTGAACATCAACTCCATGTGTTGGATGTTTTTCTTGAAAATAACTTACATGCCTGTTAATCTTACCTTTTTCGTGCTGTTGGTGTAATAGAAGCATTGAGTAGCATAATCTTATCTCATCTGTTATGCATTAGGTCTTTTAAGATAAATTCATAGGTGCCAGAGCCTTGGATGTCACCACAACGAAAAAGAGATCTTGCTTTCTAATTTTTCTCTTCATCTTTGTTAAGATGGTTCCATGGGAAGATCTCCAAACAAGAGGCTTACAATTTGCTGATGACAGGTACTTGTATTTCTGAGACATTGGTAGTTAGCAGCACAAAGCCATTGTGTGTATTGTGTGACAAAACCTGTGGGTCTTCATGTGTGAGTATACGATTGTCTTTGATCAGACTCTGCGATTGTTACTTCAGTAGAATACTACACTGGAAGTAGAATACTACACTGTTAAGGCTGAGTATTAAGTGTATTTAAATTCTTAAGCACAACTAATTTAATAATCTTCATTGAAATAATAAAATACTTCTTGATTAATACATGAATTAAAAAAATACCAGGTTTTCTCAGGAGAAAACAATAGTTTTAGACCGAAAGAAAATATAATAAAGGCTTTCCAAATCTTTTCAAAGAGGAAATACTTACTGAAATGAAAACATCAAGATTTCTGACCCTTACTGTAAAATGTATACTTCAAACATAAGAAGAAAAATGAATTTTTGAGAACAAATTATGAGATGTTTTATTGGCGCTACGTAAGTAGGTTGCCATCTACACCTAAACAATTTTGTGTTAACATCTGATTTGGGATCACTCTTGAAACTTACCTCATCAACTTTGTATCTCTTTTAAGTGGACAATTCTTTCTGGTTTATATTGACATTTATGAGATTTATATGTAATACTTATTTTTTTTTTAAAAAAAATAGCATTAAATAACACTGTCAAATCTTTTCAGTTGGCCAGGTGTGCAGTTTTCTTGTGAGGCCTTCAGATAATACACCCGGTGATTATTCACTTTATTTTCGGACCAGTGAAAATATTCAGCGATTTAAAATATGTCCAACAGCAAACAATCAGTTTATGATGGGAGGCAGATACTATAACAGGTAAGTTATTGTGGTAAGAATTGTGTCTATTCTGTGTTCATGTAAGATTTCTGTATCTGATTCCTGTATCTTATACCAGTTATTGACTGGTATAAGACTTTGTTTTTCTTAACAGCATACTGAATATTTTGCCTAGCTATCCTAATAGTTAAAACCAACAAAGTTGTTGAGGACTGTGCATAGATTTTGGTTTTTTATTTTGAAGTGCTCTTCTGCAAACTAGTTTCTGCAGTCTATAAATTGTGAATCATATGGGTCGTGTGTGGGGGTTTAATAGAATGCTGTGTTGTCTTGGAAGCTGCTGTTTGTAATAGAAGTTCTTCTCCATTTGAAAGAGATAAAACTAAAATCTTTATATTCCTGAAATATTCCACAGGACTTTCAAAGTGTGAATAAGAGAAATGGGTATTTACAGGGAAGGGAAAAAATATTTTCATTTTTGGAAAAAAGTTACTAAATTGCAGTGTAGTAAGTAAGTGATACTTTGGTAGGAATTGCAGATGACTCCATTTAGAATGAGGAAACTTGGAGTGCATTTGTTTTGCCAATGATAGAACAATACAACAATCTCAAAAAAAAAAAAAAAAAAAAAAAAAAAACAAAAAAAAAAAGAATTTTTTTTAATTTTTTTTTTAAAAAATGTTTAAAGCAAAAACTTAAAATTAATATATAAATATTTTTTTAGGGGCAAAAAAACAA